ACATCAGAGCGATGCAGCTGCAAGCCGAAGAAGGCCCACGGTTGCCAGGGGCCCTGGGAGCTCAGAAAGGCAAGGGAGGGTTCTCCCTACAGCCTCCAGGAAGCACAGCCCTGCCCATACCTTGATCTGGGGCTTCCAACCTCCAGAACCGTGAGAGAAGACGTGCCTGTTATTTGAAGTCACCCTGTTTCTGGTACTTATTACGGCAGCTCTAATATATGAATACACTGTGCCTTCCCGTTTTATTCTCACAAGGTTTGCGGCTGCTGTGGCATGCACACAGGCCAGGAGGTGGCGCGGGCAGGTGTGCCAAGGTGGCACCGTCTCTGCCCTCCCGGTCTTCCTCTAAGACACGGAGGGACTGGGCCCAGATTTCTACCAGCTTTACTGTTACAAGAGCCCTGACCTGCCCAAAGGCACGGAGCAAGCTGGGCTTGGACCAGGCAGACCTGCACACCTGTGTGAACCAGGACAAGTGACATCGTCCCCGAGACCCAGTTCCTCCAGCTGCACAGTGGGAGTGAAACTGCACTTTCCGTCGTGCTGTGGTGGTAATCAAAGGAGACAGCACAGCCATGGCCGGGTGTTCAGTGGTTAGAGCATCAGCCCTCAGACCAAAGGGTCGCAGGTTATCAGTTGGGGCATGTTGAGGAGGCAACCAGTTGATGTGTCTCTCACACACATCGATGTTTCTTTCTCTCTCTCTCTCTCTCTCTCTCTCTCTCTCTCTCTCTCTCTTTCTCTTTCTCCTCTCCTCTCCTCTTTTCCTCTCCTTTACTCTCTCTAAAAATCAATGGAAAAAATATCCTCAAGTGAGGATTTTTAGAAAAGAGAGACAGCAGAGGGAAGAACCGTGCACAGTTCTCTGCACAAAGCAGGTGCTCAGGAAATCCTAGATGATAGTGATGTTGGTGATGATGTGATTTCTGGCAAAGCTGGGACTCTCACCAACATCTGCCTGTCACTCCAGCTCACCACCACTCCCAGTGTCATTCCCCTGACCCCTCTGCCCCCTGAGATTGGATGGGACAGCTCTAAGCTCAGCAGACCCCAGACCCAGGGCTCAGCAGCCAAGTGAGGGGTGGAGTCCTGTGTGAGGAGAGTGCAGGCTCTGCCTCCAGCTGCTGCTCTCGCGTGCCCAGATCCTTCACTCCCCAGCCTGACGCAGTCTCCTCTCTAGACAGCCACAGCCCGTGGCAGGTCTTGTGTTTTAAATCATGCCCCTACGTAACTGATGTTTATTCAGAATCAATCCTTTAAAGAGCTAACAGCCTCCTTCTTTGTTCAGCCAGCTGTCTAGGGTTCCGCTGAAGGTTTTTTCTTTCTTTCTTTCTTGTTTTCTTCTGTCCTTCCTTTCTCTCTGGCCTTCCCTTCTCTTCTCCCGGTATCTGTGCCCTTTCCCACTCATGCAGTGTCTTATCTTCATTTCGTTCTGTCTTTCTGTCTCCTTCCCCCACCCCACCTCCCCTCCCTCTCTCCTCCTCCTCCACATGCACACAGTTGTTCTGTTTTCCTTCATGGTTTCTCCTTTTAGAATCTCGGCTTCCCCCTCTCTTTCTCCTAATTTTTATTTTTGTCTCTCTTGTTACACCTCTGCCTCCATCTTCTTCTCTTTATGATACTCTTCTGGATCTATCTATCTATGCATCTAACTGTCCATCCATATATGTCTGTCCATCCATATCTATTTGTATATCTGTCCATCCATATCTGTCTGTCCATCCATCCATTTATCCATGTGATCATCCATTTATCCACCCATTTATCCATCCATCTATTATCCATCCATCCATCCATCCATCCATCCGTCTATCAATCCATTTATTTATTTACCCATCTACCCATTCATGCATCTATCTAAAACATACATACATACATACATACATACATACATCTTCTTCTTCTGGATGACTGTTTCTGCCTCTTTGTTTCTCTTCTTCCTTTCTAGCAGTTTCTGTACATGTTGATCTCTTTTCTTGTTCTCACACTTTCTCAGACGATCTCTCCCTCTCTCTTTATCTCCCCTTCTCATTTCCCACTTGAACTCCTCCCTCTAAGGAGATTAATATTTTAGTAGCCTTGATGTGGCCTCAGGATCTTCAACTCTTTCCATGACTCAAAAGTGACATGTATCCCAAGGGCTTCAGTTCAGGAGCTACTCATTCTCCCCACCCCCCTGTCACCTGCCCGCACTCTGTACAAAGGGAGGGAGGGAGGAAGGAAGGATCTGGCAGCTCCCTCATCATCTCCTCCTTTGCCCTGCACTTCAGCCTGAGCAGGGAGGACTTGGACCAGGAACCCAGAGGTGGGGTGGGCAGGTTCTCGGGAAGACTACTGATGGGTGGTGGCTGCATCCATGCCTTCTGGTGTCTTCTTTGTTGCGTTGGAAAAACATCTACTTAGTGCAAGTTCTTACCAGGCCTTGTGCTGGGGGCTAAGGAGGGATGAGTGAATCTTGAACTCTTCACTTCAAAAGCGTACAGTCTCTCTAGGAAACCATAGAGCTGATTGAGATCAATAAGATAAAAGAATAAACAGTGTTCTCAAAGGGAAAAGGAATTGATTCTGGTTGGGGCGGGGGGCGCAGGTAGAGAAGGTTTTACTGAGGAGGTCAGACATAGTAAGCTCTGGGGAGCTGAGCTTTGCCCAATGTCGCTGCTGCATCCCCAGTACCTAGAACAGTGCCTGGTACACAGCAAGCACTCAGAAAGCAGTGCAATATATGGATGGATGGATGAATGAATGAATTTGAAGGATTTTTAGGAATGTGACAGGGAAAAAAAGGCAAAGATGAGCATTCTAGACCAGTGGTTCCCAACGTGGGGCACACGCCCCACAAGGGGGCTATTTGATTTTTAAGGTGAGAACGAGTTATTAACAGTGAATTTTTTGCATTTCTTATGGTTCTAGGGGCGTCATATACAGTATATAAATATATAAATACGTATTGTGACATAGTTATGCATTTCAGTTCTCTATCATATGTTTTAAAATTTTATTTGCTACTTTTTCATATCACTTTATATTATTATTATTATTATTATTTTAACAATTTCTTCCTCAGTACTTCAACTGTCCTTTTGTTCTTTTATTTTTCTCTTTCATGGATGCCATGTTCTTTGGAAGCTTGTTTAGACCAAGTGAATGGCCTTTTAGGCTTCCTCCATGTGAATGGGAGTTCACTTTTTGAATAAGAATGATATGTCACAGGGTGGGCATCAGGATTTGAGAGATACTTAGGTGGGGCATGGCCAAAAAAAGTTTGGGAATCATACAGAACACCATGATTAAGGATTCAGAGAGGTGAAGGCACATATGGTATTCAGGTCCCCTCTTCAGGGCTGACCCTCCCATCTCGAGATCATGGCTGATGGTCCACAGCTGTGCCCCTTTCTGGGCATTTCCTTCAGCCACCGGGAACTGCCTCACCCAAGGATACCCCTTCCAGGTGGCAGCACTTGGCCCATGACTGGCTGGATCCCTGCCTCCGTCAGGGACATCTGTAAAGACCGTCACAGCTGCTCCGAGCTCCCCTTAGGACCAGCTGAGGCTGAAAATCTACATAGCATCATCCATATTTCAGGCCAACCTCTCCTTTGCCCAATCCTGCCTTCGACTTCCTCCACCTGTATCCCACGTGGGCTCCTTGGTGATGCCCTATGGGCACCCCTCTGTTCCAGAGTCTGTTTTCAGGGAATCTGACCTGATACTGTGTGTTTAGGGAATGGGAAGAGGCCCATGGCTGGCAGATAGAGAATATGAGGACGGGTCAATGTAGCTGGACAGGCAGGCAGGGACCAGATCATAAAGGACCTTGAAAGCCAAGGAAATGAATTTAGATTTTTCTCCTATAAGTAATGGAGAGCTGTTGATCAGTGAGGTATTCAATTAGAGCTGAAATTTAACAATTCACGGGCAGTTGGTGCCAAAGATCAGACAGAAGGCACTAAGACTGGAGACAGGAAAGAAGCTAGGAGACCAAACCCTGGAGCTCCAGGCCTGAGGAGGGAAAGGATAGGAGAAGGGATGGAGGGTGGCCCAGGACATCACCAACAGTTCTCAGGACCTCTGCTTGCTACGTGCACATGTACAGGCATCTCCCTCTCACAGATCCGGATTCTACGGGTCACATGTCATGGAAGAGCACAGTGTCTCTTCTCATGGCCCATGGGCCCCTTTATTATCTCCTGCAATGGTGGGCATCTTAGATAGTCCAGTGCTAGAATATTCCTTGCCTGGACCTTTCTCAGGAAAACAGACTCCAGAAACTTCCATCTGTATCTCTCATCTAATAGAATTCTGGAAGAGCCATGAATCACGGTGCCTTGTCCAGTATCTCTTGGGAACCTCATTTGGGAGCAGTCATGCTTTTGCCTAGAATCCCATGACCTTTTTCACATCCATTGTTACCAGTCTTGATGGTGTGGCTTGTACACAATATTTGTGGCTTGGCTTTTACAGGCTGTGTAATTGGGGCTAAGTCCCACCCCTTATATAGTTCGATATATATCCACAAAGTCAGAATAGTAGGAGTGTGCCCATTTTGAAGAGTTACCCCGGGGAGGTCTGGAATCTGTAGAAACATAAATGATGGACGTTAAAGAGTTGGGTAGTGGGAGGAGCTTGGCACAAACTCCCGTTCTGCCCAATTGTGAGCTGGTGGTCATCAGTAAGACACTTTTTCACCTTCCTCAGCCACCGTTCCCTATTGGTTGAGTGGAATTTGGATGCCTCCCTCCCAAAATTATGAAGATTCGTGAAATAAAGGGTACAAAGTTCCAAGTACAACCTTATTTCTCACAGTTAGACACACATCATGTCATAGGATGATAAACCTATTGGATTATTTTGTTTCTCTTGTTTTCTTTTTAGAAAGGTTTTTGTATCATTTTCTTGATTATACATATAATAAATGATATTAAAGGTAATGAATGCACAGATTTTTAAAAATCTATTGATCCAGATGTCTCTGGGGTTTAACCATCCCCTTTCTCTCCAAGGGAAGAAGCGATGCTGTCCACCTACTTCGAAACCATCAATGACCTGCTGTCCTCCTTTGGGCCGGTTCGCGACTGCTCTTGGAACAATGGGGGCTGCACTCGAAACTTCAAGTGCGTGTCTGACCGCCGGGTGGACTCCTCGGGCTGTGTGGTAAGTGCCCATTGATTGACTCATGAACATGGTGGTAGGCCAAGGTGCCAAGGCTGCTTGCGGGAAGCCCCTCCCTGTGAGGGGAGCCGGTCAAGGAGGATCACACTACTCACCACTCCTACCTTTGTGGCCTCAGCACATCAGCTGCCTCAGTTTCCTCATCTGTAAAGTGGGACAATTAAACCTACCCTGTAGAATTGTTGAGAGAATGAAGTAAGATATTAGAACTTGAGTCCCCAATGTACAATAGATCCTTGAAAGCTCTTGGCTTCGGGAAGCTTGCAGCTCATTTGGGAATGGGGTTGGGGGGTAGGGCATGGCACGTCTTATCTCTAATAGCACGATGAGAGGCAAGTCAATGCAATGTCCTGAAGAGAAAGTTTAGTTGAGACTCAGGTTTGTAGAAGGCTTCCTGGGGAAGCTGGAGTTGGAACTGGTTTCAAAAGATGGGCCCCTGCCCTGGCCAGTGTGGCTCAGTTGGTTGGACATCATCCTGTGCACCAGAAGGTTGCTGGTTCGATTCCCGGCTAGGGTACATGCTCCGGTTGGGGGCTTAATCCCAGTTGTGGGGCGTGCAGAAGGCAGTTGATCAATATTATGCTTTCACATTGATGTTTCTCTCTTCTCCCTTCCTCTCTCTAAAAACCAATAAACTCTTATTTAAAAAAAAATAGAGGGGTCATTTACATCAGGAAAAGAGCAGGGCTGACTAACGTGTGAAGAAAGGATGGTGAATGTGTAGTATGGAGCTTCGTTTAGTATCTAATGTGGGATAAGGACACAGAAGAAGACATGTGTGGCCTATAGAAGAGGATGTCAAACTGGATGATTTTCCCCCATAGGAATGACCTAGGCTGCTTATTGAAAATGCGGGTGTGAGGAATGTGGATGCTACAGAGGGGCGTAGGTCCCAGGATTTTAACAAGTCAATGGATGTATGTGCATGTCGGGGAGGCAGGGGCTGCCTTGGAAGTACCGCCCTGCAGGCTGAACTCCTACCCTGGCATTCAGGCCCTTTCTAGACGTGGTCCCCTTTATGTCCTTTTACACTAGAGCAGTGGTTCTCAACCTTCTGGCCCTTTAAATACCGTTCCTCATGTTGTGACCCAACCATAAAATTATTTTCGTTGCTACTTCATAACTGTAATGTTGCTACTGTTATGAATCGTAATGTAAATATCTGATATGCAGGATGGTCTTAGGCGACCCCTGTGAAAGGGTCGTTCGACCGCCAAAGGGGTCGCGACCCACAGGTTGAGAACCGCTGCACTAGAGCCAAATGGAGCTAATTAGAGGTCGTTCTCTGAACAGATACATGCTTGTTTACTGCCGCAGAGCCTTTGCTCAGGCTGTTTTGTTGTTGTTGTTATTGTTGTTTTTAAGGGGTTGTTACCTGAAGTGAGTTGCTCCCCCAGCCCATTTTATTTAGCAAACAAGTAGACTTCTTTCTGGATCCGTCTCCTTTATGAAGCCTTTCCCATCCTGGCTTGGAGAAGGGGCCATGCTCTTCGAATGATCATCACTGTTCTCTGTGCCGACATCTGTTCTGTCACCTGTGATGATTTATTGCACAGCCTGGCTCTTTGCAAGTTTATCTCACCCGACAAGCTGAGGGAAACCCATGGAATCTGTTGATTCAGCTCAGCGCCCCAATAGTGCCCATCTCAGCAAGTGAGAAGGAAAGAAAGGAAGAAGGACAAGAAGGGAGGGATGGGCCCAGGAATGGAAGTTCCTGCTCTGGACTAGGCTCTTGGGAAGTGGGTTCCTAAGGTGCCGACACAACAGCTGGCAACTAGACTGGCCAGGAGACCAATACAGAGAAGCTTCTAGAGAATGAGATAATGCAGTGCAACTGTATTTGAGACTCAGAGATCCAACGTGCCTTCAGAGGTGGATGGGCAATTGGGGATTTTATTGATTAGAATTCTTGGGATTATAAAAGACAGAAACTCAATGCTAACTAGTTTAGGCAAAAAAAAAAAGAGGAAATATATTGAAATGGAAGTTGAGGCACAATAGGCTTGAGAGGCTCAACCAGTGTCATTGGGACCCCCGGTTCTCTTAGCTCTGATTTCCTCGGCACCTTGTCCTTCTCGGGCCACGCAGTGCGTCCTGCAGGACAAGAACATCTCCTCCAAGTTCCTCCTGAAGTCACGGGATTCCTCATAAAGTCATGGACCAACTTGATTCTCAGCCCTTCCCTGTACCAATCACTGTGGTCAGGGGGAAGGATGGGGTCAACCCAGAACCAGTCATTCCTGGGGCTTGGGCCAAGTGGCCACCGCACCTAAAATACGAGGTAGTGAGTCGGGGGGAAGGCGTAGACTCTCCAGGAAAAGCAGGGTGCTAGCAGCAGAAAGAGGGGCTGTGGATGCATCAGCAGCTGTGTCCTGCAGACTATTGCGACCCAACCCTTCACTTTGCATATTGGAAAGGTGAGGCCCAGTGAGAGAGAGGAGGGTTTGGCTGAGTCTCAGAGCAGGTCAGTAGACAAACACAAGGATGGTGTTGTCTCCAGAACAAGAGGCCGACATTTCTGAAAAGGTTAAGTTGTCTGTCTCTTTTCCCTTTTCCCATCAGTTCTCTTTTCCTGAACTAATTAAGCTCCTGCTTGAGGTTCAATGTCCCAGAAGAATGCAGCCTCAGAATGCGGAGGTGTGTGTGTGTGTGTGTGTGTGTGTGTGTGTGTGTGGGCAAGAATTGTCTTTTTTCCCCTCTCATTAATGTAAACTGGAAAGATGAAGAGATGGGGGGAAAGAACATTCGGTCCCTGGAGGTGAAGAGAAAATTCCACAGTCTGATGAGGTTGTCAAAGACCTTCCTCACTAGATTAAGGATCTAATGTTGAAGCTGCAACTTCAGGGCTCGATGACTGTAAGGCAGGCTTTCTCTCCGCGACTTCAGAGGAGACGGATGAGTATCAGCTTTCACACTGAAATGTAACATCTCTCTCATTTCTCTGCAGGCTCTTCATCATGCCTGCAAAGAGGAACTTTTTCTGACAGCCCCTCTTTTAATAACATCCATACGGCAAAACAATGCTTTATATTTTTAGAGCACGTTTAGAGTTCCCAAGGCATGTCTACACCCAGGACAAACCTGGACAGTAGCTTCCCTCACCCATGTGGGAAGCAAACGGACTTTCCAAGGTTGGAATGGGATGGAGGCCCAATGACATGTCTTCGACATTATTCTTAGTGCCAGAAGAAGAATATTGGGTTGCTCTCCTGTGGAGCTGAGAGGAGGTGGCAGCAAAGAACATTAGGAAGAAGGCTGGTTTGGGTGAATTGGGCTTAAGCGCTGATGTGGTCATTGGAGAGCTTTATAATCCATGGTGACCTCATTAGCCTCTGTTTATTAATCTATTAAAAAGGAAGCAATTGCTCTTGAACTCATAGGTTTCCTGCAAAATCCAAGAGTATAACTGCAAATGATTTGGGATTTTCAAAGTGCCATTTATGTGTGAGATGATAGAACCTCAATTGCTGATGTTTTTATGTTCTGGATATGATATTTGGGATCACGAAAATTCAGGAACACGCCGTATTTAATTTTTTTAATGTTTCTGTAACTGAATTTCATTTTTGTTTTGCTCCATTCATTAGTAGTAGAAACTTAATTCCAGTCAGTTTGGGTTTCCTGCCTCCTCCTTCTTCCTAAACATCCAAGTTCAGGGGGCACCTGGTGTGTGTCTAAGGCACGGAGGTCAGGGGGGTGCTTTGCGCTGGACCGTCACCTCTCAGTCCTGGTACCTGCTGTCTCCTCTGGCCCTGGGCCACCACTCTTTTCTCTCTATTGTCAGGCCCCCCTTTCCCATGTGATGTACAGGTGCGTGTTCCATTCCAGCATCTGCTGCCGTGTTCTGTACATCCCTGCCACAGGTCATTTGAGTCCAGCTGGCTGAACTCATCACATGGCTTCTCCACCCTACGGGAGCCTGAGGCAAGTCCAGCAGCTCTCCCACACCACCCCGAGGCCAGGGTCTGAGGGGAGCTGGCTGGAGCCCTCCTGACCCAGACAGACATTTATAGGTGCCTGCTTTTATGGCAGGGACGGCACAGGACCATGCTTGCCATCCACCAGATACTACCTGGCAGGAGAGGCGCAGATCCCCTTTGCCTTCAGATCCCTTAAACCCACGTGATTTTCTTCTTTAAAAATCCTCTTCTTTCCTCATCCTCTTCTTTCCTCATCATCTTCTTTGCCTGAAGGGAATAGAGCACAGGATGTCTTTTAAGCATATTCACCAGCATTTATAAGGCCATCCTGTTTGACTTTTAACATTCCTCTCTTCCCTCAGCTCAAATGATCCTTCTGTAACAGATGACAGATTCTTTTATTTATTATTATTATTTATTATTATTATTTTACCTTCTAATTAGACTTCAACTTCTTAAACCCAATTTTTTTAAATGACTACTTTGCTTGGTTTTCTGGTTCTGCTGTGGTCCTCTCGTATGCAGTTGCCCAAATTGGAGAGGGTCATCGGGTGTGTGGTAGGCAGAAGAATGGATCCCCCAAGCGTGTCCAAATCCTAATGCCTGGAACCTGTGAATACATCAGAGGGGGATTAAATTCACATGTGGAATTAAAGCTGCTGATAAACTGATTTTAAAGAGAGAGTTTGTCCTGAATTATGAGGTGGGCCCAGTAGAATCACAGGGTCCTGAAAGGGGGAGGAGGGAGGCGGCAGGAGTTCAGAGCGGCGCCCTGTTGCTGGCTTGGAAGGTGGAGGAAGGGGGTACATGCTAAGGAAAGTCTCTAGACGCTGGAAAAAGCTAGACTGGAACCCCCACAAAATCTCCAGAAAAGGAGTGCAGTTCTGTTGACACCTTGCTTTTAGCCCAGGGAGACTTTTAAGCTATGAAACTGTAGGATAATGAATTTGTGTTGTCTTAAACTGCCAGTTCATGGTAATTTGTTAGAACAGCAAAAAAAAAAAACAAACAAAAAAAAACAATGCAGGGTGAATGAGACTATGGAAAGGGAGGGTGATGCAG